TAGTTAGTTTGCTGGAATTAACTTGTTGCAAAAAAATGAGGAGAGCAGATGTGCATCAGTGACCTGCAGAGCCAAGAGCCTGGTGGTAAAGCTGTGATAGTTCCCAGCCCTTTTGTACTGGGAGAACTATCAGTTACTGAGCACTTTGTCTCATTTTCAGGTTGCCCACAAACTCTTCAGCAAGCTGAAGTGAATGCTGGAGTGATTGTCCATCTGCTTCCACAGTCCATCAGAAGAGCCTCATCGGTTCACAGTACTGCTTCTGCCTGTTTATTGCCAATGTGAAGTACAAAGTGGCTTCTTGGCAGTGACTGAGCACCAGAATGTCACTGTGTCTGTTCTCATCGAAGATGTGCAGCTACACAAAAACCTCGTGAATGTTCTGTAGTTTTCCATATTAAACATTTAAAGTTCCTGTGGAAATGCTCTCAGCTTATTTCATAGTCCTTATAATGCTCATTTGTACTGGTATGGAATTATGATGAAAGTAGTGAAGCTCAGAGCTCACCCCACCTGCTTGTATCCAGGAGAGACTTTTTCTCCCTTGTAGGAATTTCCTTTCTGTGCACCCTTGATGAGCAGAGGCTGATGCCATCCCACTGGTAAAAACTCACCTCTTGGAGCAGCAGACACCACTGAACTTATGACTTATGCTGTTCATTCAGTGAGTTGAGACTAAATTGGTCTTCCCAGAGATGTTGCTACCCAGAGGAAGTGAAGGGAGGCAATTATGATTCCTATAACACGCTTCACTCCTGTGAGCTATGAGGTGATGCCATTCCTGTTTAATGTGCCTTCGGGGAAAGCCTTCAGCTGCCCCTGTTGCTAGCAGAGGTTGGAGGAGACTGTTGTTGTCACCTGTGTGTTGTGGCCCAGAGCAGCTGTCCCTGGGGCTGCAGGTGGGCACAGTGGTGGTGCCATCTGAGTCAGTGGTGCTCTGGGGCGCTGCTGCTGTAGTACCACTGTAAGCACCAGCCCTTTCTGCTGCCCTGGGGCTGTGGTGGTGAGATTGAATCCTCGAATCACAGAAGATCCAGAGACAGGAGTGGCTTTAGGGATCATAAAGTGCAACCTATCAGTTCAGGCTCTGTCATTCTGCTTCAGAGCAGGAGGTTTAACAGCAGGAATACTACAGGGCTGTTTCCTTGGGCAGCAAATACTTCCTCGGCTCTTTGTCCAAGCAAAATGGCACCTTTTTAAATGCGGCTGCTATTAGAGCAGCAGTAGCAGCAATGCCATCCTTTTGCTGGTGGTTCTCAAGCTCAATCCCTAACAGCTCGAAACAGCTCTATTCGCACAGCTGTAAGGTCCGCATTAGGCCGGCTCTGCTTCCCACATTCCCCGGCAGCCTCGAACCCGAGGGAGGGCTGGGAGCTCCGGTCCCGCCCCGGAAGGCGCTGCTGAGCGCGGCCATGGCGGCGCGGAGCGGGCGGTCAGCGTTGCTGCTGCGGAGAGGTCCTGTGCTGGGGCTGAGCCCGGTGCCTCGGCGGTACCTCTACAAGAAGAAGTGGGTGAGAACGGGGGGGAGCTTCGCGCTTGTTTTCTTCCCTCCGATCCGTCTTCGCTGTGCCTTTCCCATCGCACCTCCTTTTTCTGTCCCCATTTCATCCTCATTACCCCCCCAGCTCTGTTATTTCTGCACCCTTTTCCCTCTCCCCGTTCCACCCATCGCTGCTCCCATTGCACCCTCCTTCACCCCTCACCCCTTTTATCCCAGCTTGCACCCCATACACCTCTCCCTGAGCCCTCCTGCCTTTCCCCTCCTAAATGCTCCGGGTTTTGGGCTCCCAGCCCCTTCACCCCTTGGATGTCTCTCTCCAAAGGCCACCACCTCCCCGCGCATCCCGGCCACACGCCTGGCACTGCACCACTTTGACACCACTTACAGCCTGCAGCTGCAGGAGCGCTGGCCGGCCGTTCGAGCTGCAATGCTGTGCGAGCAGAAGTACGGAGCCCTGCTCAACAACTTCGCCTCTGCCGACCTGATTGCCCAGCAGCTGGAGCTGCTCAGCGCCACCGATTTTGTTTCTGAAGCTGCCAGAAGGGCGCGGTGTTGGCAGGAAAGTGAGGGTGTGGAAGTAGAGAGGAGGAAAACTTCCCTGGAGGGGTCTGGTGGAGATGGGACGATGGTGCCAACAGAGACGTCACCGCTGCTTCATGCCTCTGTCAGCTCCAACATCAAGTGCTACACCTTCCCCAGGGGCGACATCTCACGCTTCCGTCCTGCGTGGTGAGATGGTTCTCCTGCTTCCTTCACTCCACTTTTAACCATAGTGCAGGCACAGTCAGGCTTCTGGTAATGCTTTATTGACTGTCCCGTATCTGGAGGTGCTCAGTGCTGGGTTGGATGGGGCCCTAAGCAGTCAGAGCTGTTGGGGGGCCACCCAGCCTATGGCAGGGGTTGGAGCTGGCTGATCCGTCCATAAGGTCCCTTCCAACCTAGCCATGTTATGATTCCATGAGTCTGTGTTTCTGTAACTGTTCCTGCTACAAACCAACATTGGTAGTTGTAATGCTGTAATCTATAATGTGATAGAAAGCTCAGCGATAGTAGTGGGGTGGTACAGTCCTAGGCTGCAGCAAATGAGAACAAGCCCAAATGCAGCAGCCATGGACACAGAAACAAAGGAAGAAAAACTTCTTACCCTTAGATGTTCTCCAGAGATAGCCTCACCTCCACTGCCAACCCTTAAATGAGGTCTGGGAAGGGCTGGATCCTGACTCTATATCTTCTGGTTACTCCCCTGGGTTGGCCCTGCCTTCCCACCAGGTGCTCCATCACTACTTCAAGTTGTGACTTAGCATTTCTGCTGCACCAGTGTCAGGCTGTTAGCACCAGGTCCTTTTGGCCATCCTCATCTTAGTTTCCAATTATATTTTTTTCCCTTGCTTTCTATATGCAAAATGGTGGTTTCCAGGCCAGACTCTCTTGGGATCCTCAGCTACTATCTCATGGATGCAGCATCCCTCCTGCCTGTTTTGGCCCTCAATGTGCAGCTGAATGACCTCGTCCTGGACCTCTGTGCAGCTCCAGGTGGCAAGACGCTGGCTTTGCTGCAGACTGGGGCTTGTGGTAAGTGGAGGAGTTGTTCCTCAGCCCCATTCTGTTACAAAGCTGAGATGGAGAGAGTGTGGGGTACATGATGATGCCTCTCTGTTCATCTTTTCTGCTTATAGGAGTTAGTGTGTTGTTGTTTTTTTTTTTCCAGAGTGAATTTCTCAGCATGCTGTTTCCCATCTCTCACCTCAGGGCATCTGGCAGCCAATGACGTCTCCATTTCCCGAACAAGGAGGTTGTACCACATTCTCAATAGCTACATTCCCAAGGAAATCAGGGAGACTGTGAGCGTTACATCGCATGATGGAAGAGACTGGGGAGAGCTGCAAGGTGGAACTTTTCATAAGGTGAGTGGTTGGAAACCAGTAAAAGGAATCATAGAATGGTTGGGTTGAAAGGGACCTTAAAGCCCTTCCAGTTCTAGTCCCTGCTGTGGGCTGGTTGCCCCCACCAGCCCCATCTGACCTGGGGCACCTCCAGGGATGGGGCATCCACAGCTCTCTGGACAGCACCTCACATCTAGTTTAGTTTCTTCCTGTTTCAGAGGAGGACAGCAGTGTAATTGTATAGCTTTGCATAGCCTGATATGCTGAACAAGAGCTAAGACTAAGCCAGATACAGAGTAGTATTTCCTCTGGCTGTACCATTCCTCCAGGATCTGTGAGTATGGGTATCCTGAGTTGTACTTTTATCTAGTGGCATAAGCTAGGCAAGGCACAGAGGGCTGAGTTTGTCTGTCTGGTGTGGTGGAAGTATTGGTGGTGCTGGGGGATTTCCGAGACAGACCAGGGCCCAGAGCTGATGTAGGATCTGTGCTGCTGCAGGTCCTTGTGGATGTGCCCTGCACAACAGACAGGCACTCCGTCATGGAGGAGGAGAACAACATCTTCCACAAAATGAGAACCAAGGAGCGTCAGATGTTGCCAATGCTGCAGTTGCAGCTGCTGATGTGAGTGAGCTTGAAGCTGTTTTGTTGCTGTATGTATTAGCACTGAAACCTCTTCTTACTTATACGTGCCTAGTCAAGAGCTCTCCCCACCTCATATGGTTATTTGCTGGCTTCCTTATTGCTGTTGTCCCATACTTTCCTCTTCCTCCCCTGATGGTATGTTTTTTCCATCTTGTCCACAGGGCTGGGATCCTTGCTGCCAAGCCAGAGGGAGAGGTGGTGTACTCCACGTGCTCCCTCTCTCAGCTGCAGAATGAACACGTGGTCGAGAGAGCGATAGACATTGCACAAACCCAATTCAGCATCACTGTCCACGTTGAGGACCTGAGCCACTTCAGGATGCTCTTCCAGGACACATTTTGTTTCTTCTCAGGTTGCCGACTGGGGGAGCTCGTTCTTCCTCACCTCACAGCCAACTTTGGGCCGATGTATTTCTGCAAGTTACGCCGAGCATAAGGGATGGCAGATCTGGGCTTGGGGCAGCTCAGCTTTCCTCACTGTATGTCTCTGGGCCATCACGTTTGGAACTGATGTTGTTTCCCGATTGCTGGCTATCATGAAATACCCTGAATGTCCAGGGAGAGCATATTTAAAGGATATTTATTTTTCTTTTCAAATGTCTCAGATGGGCTAAATTGTTTTCATCTTATGTGAACATGTTCAGGATAATAAATACTAGCTGGGCATGGATCTCTGGCTTCCTACTCTACCAGGTCTCTACTCTCCTGTCTGCTTTTAGAAGAAACAGCCTAAGATCCTGAAAGAAGAGGATCTGAAGAATGTTCCTCTGCTGGGGTTGGAAATACCACTCGTGATGCTCGAGGTCTGCTGATGGAAAAAGCTCAGTGCTGTAGAGAGGGATGTGTTGCCATCTCCCACAGACAGGCTGAGAGGGGTGTGAGAACTGCCACACGTTCTGGGTGCTGTGTAATGGCCAGTGGGAAAGTGCATGATTTTGGGTAATAACTGCACCTGTATGATTGTATCCATCAGTGGAGTGTTACTCAGGTTTATTATAATATTTTTATTTTTGTGGGCAGAATAGTGGTGCAGTAATAGATAGACATGGATGTATTCCATGCAGGGCTGTTAGCCACATAGTTGCATCCTCTGCCAGCAAGAAAACACTACTGAGTTTTCCCTTATCCTTGCCCTGCTTCTTGCAAGAGGCTGCATAGATGTAAATGAAAGTGACCACCCACCCGTATCCATCCTTTCAGGAAGGTGCAGTTCATGGATTGTTGATCATTTGAGCTCAGCTCTCTGCGTCACCTCTCTGACAAGTGTTGGTGTGACTGCACAGTGTGCTGGTGGGGAATGCTGTATAGTTATTAATGCAGCAACAGTGACTGGTTGTTTTCAGCCACTGGTGCAAAAAAGGGGAAAAGGTTAATGAGAAGCAGAGGAATAGGGGACAGGTGTGTTGTGAAGGCTTCAGTGTCCAGGTGGAGTCTTTGGGTATTATCATTTTTCTTCAAAGGAAGACTGATGCAGGCATGATTCCCTTTTACAAAGAAGTTTGGTGCTGTGAAGTCTTCATCACTGTGATGAAGTGCTGCAGTTTTTATGCTGATGTTTTGGTCTCTGCCTCAGCTGCTGGGCTATTTAGAGCTGAGTCCTGCAGTGTCTCAGCCAGGACAGGATAAGAAGGCAGACTTACAGCCTTTGTAATTGCTACTGAGGAAATGGCTGTGTCCTTTAACAGGATCTGTGATTGTCAGCAAGAAGAGGGGCAGGAAATAGCTTTTCTGTCTTCCGTCCCTCCTTACTGTAATTCTGTGCCCTTCAGATTGCAAAAGGGAGCAGTGACGCACAGCTGTCCCCCTTCCCACCCTGCTGAGCTGGGACTGGAGGGGCTACATTGCTCTCTTTGCTCGGCTGAGGGTCTCCACCTCCTTCATGAACCGGAGGCACAGCTCCTCCTGCCACGGCAATGCCACACATTGCACGGCCACGGGCAGCCCCACGGCTCCTTCCACAGCCTGCAATGGGGACACGGGTGGTGAGGGGACGTTTAGGAGCTGCTGTTTTCAGTGACACCGTCACTCTGAACATCCAGCACCTCCTGTGTCACATACCTGCTTCAGCATCCTGTCCCAGAGGTCATCACAGCATCCTCTGTAGAGCTTCAGCTCTTCCTCATCGGCCTCTGTCACTGTGCTGACAGGTACGACCCCGGCGGGGAAGTCGAGGACGTTGTACAGCATCGTAGAGGAGATGGCAGCTGAAAGAAGAAAAACAGACAATACATGTGGCCACAGGCTCCTGTTCCTTCAATTATATCCGTGTTCTTTGAAGGCTCTGAGAAGCAGCTGCTGCTTGGAGATGAGATTAATTAGGGCTGATCATCCACAAGTCCCAGTCCTGTTACAAGGCCAGTCCTCTCAGCCCCCAGGGAGGCCAAAGCTCACTTACAGAGGAGTTTCCCAGGGAACCCTATGGTGAAGGCTGGCCCCAGCACAGGGCACAGCATGACATCCAGCTGCAGTTCCTTCCATTGGGTGATGAACTCAGAGCGGTACACCTGTGGGAGGAAAGGGGGGACATGCTGGGACCATTTCAGTTTCTTTGGAGTATGCATGGCGGAGGAACCCTTGCTGGGTCACAGTGCTGCCACAGCAGATAGAGGTCACTGCTGACCCAGTCCTGAAGTGGAACCAGCTCTTGCAGTCTCTTAGTGCTGATATCCCCAAAGGGAGAGAGACACTAAAATCCAGTGTATAAGCATCTGTCTCCACAGCACGTGGACAAAATATGGACAGGAATTTGAAAGGTCGCTCCTTAGCTGGCCCTATTGCACTGGGGCAACTGAGCATGGGCACTGACCACTGTGCAGCCAGTCAAGTCTTAAGTGGGTTGACCCGAAAGTCCCAGCTATGCCATTCTCAGCTCTCTTTTGTGCCTTTCTTTCTGTCTTCTTCTCAGCACCCCACTTTCTTAAATACTGACGCCTCCACAAGCCTGGAATTTGCCCTTAAGACTCAACTCGTAACATGATGTTGGAGAGAAAAGTCCTCAAAACGTACCTCTATTTGATGCTGATGATCCCACATTTCCTTCACTGACCTGTGAGTGGAAATCACAGCAACTTTTTATAGCCATTTTGAAGCACTTTGGTGAGGAAGAGAAAGTGCTCAAACAATTCTCCAGGTTGATAACCCTCAGTGATTTTAGCAATTCCATAAAGTAATGTATCTTGCCCAATTTCACCCAAGTTTCCTTTGGCATTTGTCCATACAGTTAAACAATAAATGTTTGGAAGATTTCTCTTCCTACCCAAGTCCCTTCATCCTTTTAGTAACACTAGGGACAGTGTAACATCAGAGGAGTGAGGAAACAAGCTCTTGAAATCTGAAGCGTCCAGGGCAGGACAGGTCCTGCAGAAAGTGGGTCAGAACCTGTTGTGAACCCAGCACCTTCCACCCCGCTGCAGACAGAGGAGAAGGTAAAGTTCATTTCCACAGACACTCCTGCAGAGGATGCTGTCTTACCTCATGCCACCCAAGGCGTTCAGATAGTCGGCCATGCGGGGAAACTGGAAAGGAGAAGAGTTGCTGTTAGGGAGATGAGGTGGGGTGCAGCACCTCCCAGCCAACATCCACTGCTGTCCTGCCTCAGCCCTTGAGGAGGGATGTGACACTGCTTAAAAAGGCTCCACATGGCTCTTGTTTTGCTTTGCTTCCAACCTAGGATAGAGCTTCAAATCCGACTCCCCCTGCCACAGTATCCCAATGCATGTAGGAAACCTGGCACCAATAGATCTAGCATTTGGAGAACCTCTTGCTGTGGGCTCTGCACTATTCTTTCACAGCTCTTAGCTGGTCTTGTTCTCATTTTCCTTTGCACTGGATAAACCCCAGCAGGGTAAACCCCAGCAGGATCCTTGGCCTGAAGTCCCAGTGTTGCTAGTTGGAGGTGTATGGAGATGCCAGTACCATCCCACTTTCAAGAACCTCAAGGCTCGCTGACACCACTCAGCTTTGAGAATGAAGCCAGGAACTCACCAGAGGTTTAAGAATCAGAGCCAGCATCTTCTTCCCAAGCCTTGGGATCCTGCAGAAATTCACCTGGGGTTTTAAGCTTGGATCTACAATATTTCCTGTACTGAAAAACGACAAGAGGAGGGGATCATGTCAGAGGAGCTGTTGGCGCTTTCTCAGGAAGCTGAGTATCTCCTGTTTGGGGTGTGAAAAGAGCTGGTTTTGCTGTGAGTTGTGTTCATGGGCATGGAGAATGCTTCTACTTACAACACATCCAACCAAGCACGGCCTCCATCAGCAAAAAATGTCTTCAAAAACAGTTCAGTCATGACATGGTGGATGTGAAGTGGAGAGAAGAGCACCAGCTGCATGAAAACATAAGATCATGTGGCAGCCTGAGGACGTGAATAATTTCCATGGCCTGATTATGGCTATAGTTGTAGACCTCTGGAGTAGAAGCCTCCTTGGTCTCCTCACATCACTGGGCAGCCCTTTGCCATCCCAGCCGTCTCTGCTCCCATAGTGGTGCTCACCTCATGCCCAGCTGCCTGAAGAGCCTCCCTGGTTTCATGCACTGCCCTCTGCATGCAAGGAGGCAATGGGAAGTAACCATCTGTGTCGTAGTATCCGATCCGCAGGGGAGCAGAGCTTGAGTACACCTGGAGCAAAGGAGACACCAGTCTGGTGCTGCCTTCATCCCATGTTGTGGTGTCTCAGCCTGATAAACCACAAACCACACCAGTACTGTCAAGATAACTGGGTCCTTGAGGCATGCAGAACCCTTGAGGACAAGGCTCACCTCCTCATCGAAGGGGATGGGGGGCACGGTGGGATCCAGACGGAACATCTCCTCACAGAGCAACGCCTTCATGCAGAGGGCCAGGCTGTCCACATCCCTTGCCATCGGCCCCAGTGCACACGGAACTGGCATGGGATGAGAGAAAATGTCTGTGGTAAACAGAGAGGTGTGCCATCATGCAAGGAACCATTGGGCAACGAAGGGGGATGTTCTAGATTGGCCCCCACACAAATCTTGGCAGTCTCAGCCCTCGAGGATGACAGAAGATCTCAGAGATGACATAACTTCACTGAGGTGACCCCAGGGAGACATGGCAATTTGCACCTGGGCTTCTAGAACCCACATCAGTGTCCTACAAAGCAGATAGAAGCAAACCTCAGCTTCTACCACATTCCACTCTCCCTGCTCTTCACAGCGCCTGGAGAGAAACAATCTGAAATTCACACACCTGACACAATCCCATCGACTGGGCCATTAATTCCAGACAGACTGCAGGAAAAGAAAAAAAATATATGGTTATTTCAAGTAAAAGAAAAATATTCCCAACCTGTCTGAACGCATTGTTAGTCTTCAGTTCAGGTCCTGAAATAGAATAAATTTGAACTGAGTAAAACAGAAAATCTTGATAAAATGATAACAGAAAATCCCAAACTGTAACAAATCTTTGTTTAAGCAAAAATTGTTCAATTTTGGAGCTTCCAGAGATTTAAGGACTGAAACTCAGACAGGTTTGAATTCCCATTCTCTCACCAAAGACACCCTACATGAACAGGCAGCAGATCCGTCTGCTTACTGACTCTCCCTGAACATGGCAGGTAGGCGCACAGGGTGGCTGTGAGCTAAGAGTCTCCTAGCAGAGTGTGAAGAACAGACCCCAGCACCTACCTGAGCCTTTTGGCTGTGGGTTTGAGGCCACACAGCCCACAGAAGCTACATGGAAGACGGATGCTACCACCGACGTCCGAGCCAATGCCCAGGAGGGAGCCTCCCCCTGCAATCAGAGCTCCTTCCCCTCCTGAGGAGCCCCCGGGGGTCTTCTGGTGATTGAGGGGGTTCAGCGTCTGGCCAAAAATGAGATTGCTGCAGTCATAGCTGTGGAACAAACCAGCAAGGAGGATGTAAGGAGCAGCCAAGCCCCTTGAATTAGTTGTCTGTTCCTTGCAGTGGGTTTACATGGCATAGCCAACCCCTCCTTCCACCCTGTAAATCTTTCACACGTGGCTCGTTCCCATTAAGCCACCTCCCATGCACAAGTGCACTTGATTTCTGTTATACCATGGTGGGATTTTTCCCCCTTAATGTTATTGAAAAGCCATTTTCAGTTGAACTGAGATTGTTGGCAACAAATGGAAGCCAGATTTGTCTGGGAACATCTCAGGAGACAGGAAGAAGTCTGTCCCTAAAACCCATGAGCTACAGGCTGGGTTTTAGGTTCAGGAAAAGAGACATATCTAATGATGTATGTTACTTGAAGAGGGATTGTGGCACATTGGTCTTAGCGAATGGGATGGCGCCTTGTCTCTTCAGAACCTTGACAAGGACACTGTCCTCCTGCTCTGGAGTGCAGAGGAACTTCACAAGCCCACAGGTTGAAAGATGCCCCTGCAGAAAGGAGAGGTGACAGTGGACAGTGTCAGCTCAGTTTCCCTGCTGTTTTGGAAGGAATATCATAATCATAGAACAATAACACTGTTGGGTTGGAAGGGTCCTTAAAGCCTATCCAGTTCCCAGCCCCTGCCATGGGCTGGTTGTGCCCAGTAAATCAGGCTGCCCAGGGCCCCATCCAGCCTGGCCTTGAGCACCTACAGAGATGACCCACAGCTCGTTTGGGCAGCTGTCCCAGGGCCTCACCTGTCTCTGAGTAAGATCTGGTGTTCGCTTTGGGGTGTACTAATCCATTCCCTTGCATGAAGGGCCAAGGATTCCCCCTCCTATCATAAGCACAATGCTGCCAAACACAGGGTTAAGGCTTCTCCTGAACCTACCCTTGCTCTTTTTCATGCTATTTCTCTCCCCTGACATAGATGCAACATTGCAGGCATTCTTTGTTCACTTGCTCAGGATCAAACCCAGAATCCTGCTGTCCAGTTGAAGCATCTGTTCAATGTTCAGGGAGGGAATACAAGCCATTGGCAATGACAGCATGGTCCTTTTTCTGATAGCCTTGGTGTCTGGGTCTTATTTTGGGCTCAGCGTCCTCTTAACTGTGTTGGTAAATCAGCATGGAGCTGATCATTAAGAAATCATCACGACTCATCAGCAGCTCCTAACTCCGTGGGTTGCAGAAGCAATGAGATATGGAGTCACAGCCCAAAGCCTAGCCAGGTTCCTATATTCATTCACTTCACCACCCAGCCCAGCTCAGGATGGGATGTTTCATGGGCACTAAGGGAAGCACCTTGTGGCCAATGTGATCCTTGATGCTGACAGGAATGCCATAGAGAGGTCCTTTCTTCCTCTGCTGTTGTATTTCCTGGAGCTGCTCTTCACACTCTGGGATGAAATACTGCACGCAGTTTGTCTGCTGGGTCACTTCCAGGGCCTTTTCCAGACAGATGGAGGAAGAGGTGTTAGTTAAGAGCAATGAAATGACATGGCTGCATCCAGTAGCTATCTGGATCTACAAAGTGAGAAGCTTGATTTGAATGGTAACCCCCTCCCCAGAACATCTGAAAGGGCTCAAACCATCTGAAAGGGTTATTTGATGATGGGTACAGAGATATCCCTGTCCTTCTGCATCTTTCTTCTGGTATCTGCTATATTAAAGACATGCCATAATCAGCAAGTCACCATCCCACACATCACAGCATGGATAACATAAGCAATTTGCCCTTAGGATGCAAATAGGCACTCACCTTCTGTACATAAGTATAAAGGACAGTCCTGGGGGACAGAGACCCTTCCTGCAACCTTCCAGCGAGTTCCAGCAAGGGCAGGGACAGGATGGCATCTGTCTTGTCACTGGGGACCTGCGACAGAAAGATGAAGAAGGAAGTTTTAGAAATACATACTTGTAGCTGCCATGCTTTATCTCCAGATATTATTATTATATTACTGCTGTAAATGTTGAGTTAATTGAGCTGGAACACGTGGAGAAGAAAATAGGGCAGGAATGAAGGGGGTTAGAAATGAGTACTGCAGAATTCAGGGCTGCATTCATGCTGGCTGAGTGTGTGCCTGGCTCGTTCACACACTTGTCACCTCCTGGTTGCTCACAAATGACACTGAGTGCCCTGTGTTTCACCAGTAAAGTTGGGTCAAATTTTCTGGGCAGCCTGAGAGGCCTTATTCGCTGGAAACTCTGGTAAAATTTCTTTTGAAGACTCTCCAAGAGCTACTAAGAACCCAGGTTTTATAGCCAAGGGTATAGGCGTGTGGACAGATGTGTTACCTTAGACTCAAGAAGAGTTTTTGCTTCTACCATATAGGCAAGAGATATTTTCACGCCCCTAAGGATCTACAGGGTTTGGACCAAGTGCTGATCACCTTCATTGGTAATGACCTTCATTGGTTCAAATCCTCTAGATCTTCAGAGTCTTTGTCACCTTTGTCCCAAGCCTCTTCCAAGTGTAATTCGCATCTCTCTGGCTGTAAGCTTTCACCACATCTCCTCCAGCTCATCCAGCTTCAGAAGATGTGAGCTCCCTTCCTCCCAGGGCAGCCCTTGCTGAAGGCTGCCAGCACATCTCCCCTGGGATCCTTGTTATAAAAGCTATGGAGAAGTGAGGTAGGAGGAGGAGCTGAAGAACATGAGCGGACACCCCAGTGGGTCTTAGCTCCTCACGAGGATGGGTTACCTGCTCCCTGAACTGTTGGACAGCTTTTGCCATTTTCTTCACAGCTTCATCCCGCATCCTCCGAGCCTCTTCCATCTTCTTCTGGATGTGCCTTTTGCCCAGCCATTTCCAGACCACTACAGCTGCTGCGGAACCACAGAGAAGGGCAAGGGCAGCAGCAGGAGCCAGCTCTGTCTCTGGCAGGAGCTGCCACATCACTTTGTACGATTCTCTGGTCTTTGAGGATGGGTTGAGAATGCGAAGCAAGACAGGGGGGAGGCTTCCCTGTCTCCCCAGATCAGTTCCTCCTCCCAGAACCAATGGTGTGGCTCAGCAAATAGCTTATAAACCCAAAGCTGACCTCTGCAGAGGTGCCTTCAATGGGGCATGAAGTGGAGAATGATTGACCGAAAAGTGCAACAGGTTAAGCATGCAGAGCTAGTGAACCCTGGCTGTATCGGGTTTATGCAGGCTGTCTGCGCTGCAGGAAGTTCTCTGCTGGGGAGGAAGAGCTGTGGGATCTGCTGAACAAAAGAAGCAAGGAAATAGCTTGGCTCCTGCTTCCTGCATAGCCTAGGAAGACAATGAAAGGAGGGGGGAAAAAAAACAGTTCGAAAGCACAAGATTTCCCTGCACAGAGATGAGGATGGTGTGATGAGAGGATGCATGTTTGTGGGGTACTTACTCATCCTCCAAGCTCTTTAAACCCATCCTACTCCCATAGGTGTCTAAGGCTGCTTCAAGAGCCCTATCAAAGAATCACTGAGGTTGGAAAAAAAAGCAATAAGATCACCCAGTCCAACCCCACCATGCCCTCTGCCCACGTCCCCTGGTACCACATCCCCACAGTTCTTGAACACTTCCAGGGATGGAGACTCCACCACATCCCTGGGTAGCTGTGCCAAAGCATCACCACACTTTTAGAAAAGAAATTTTTCCTAATATCCAACCTGAGCTTCCACTGGTGCTCTCATCTTATGAGACAGGGCTCAGCACTGCCACAATGCCTGCGTGCACCAGAACAAGTGGGTCCATGTCATGAACGAGCACACAAATATTGTGGTGAGTTCCACATGGTTGCATCCCAGAAGCAAGTCCCAACAGACATTGAGACAGCCCGTGGCTGAGAGTAGCACAAATACCTCTTGCTACAAGGCCACAAGAGCATCTCCATGATCTGAGATGAAGGCAAGAACTTTGCAAACATCAGCCCCTATGGAAAACATCAACTTTGGCATCCTCCAAAAAAGCAGGGTGGAATGGACAGCAATTAACCAAGTTGTAGCAAACTAAGCTGGTTATCTACTGTGCTCCTGTTTAGTGGCACCTTTGCTTAGTGGGCATGGTGGTGATGGGTTGATGGTTGGATTGGATGGTCCTAGCGGTCTTTTCCAACCTTAATGATTGGATTCTATCCTCTATGAGTCTGTGAATACCCAAGCCCTCTCCCAACCTCTTGAGACTTGTGCAAAGGCTTCCTAAGAAAGAGGTGTGCTCTTTGCACGTGGCAGTGACACAACTCCTGCACTGGGCTGAGAGGATGTGGGAGTTTATTCCTCTTGCTGAGAGGCATCAGGGCATTGGGTTCTCACATCCGCTCATGCTCTGGGTCCCGTGCTCTGATCCTGCCCTTTAGACACTGCAAATGTTTAACAGAGACAAAGCCAGCTGTGTCCAAACCAACTCGGCGTTTCAAAGGGCAGTTTTATTAGTGAGAACAGCTGCACTTCCAGATGGCCGGATGCTGCTGAGGAAGCCCTTTTCCTATCAATGGACAAACGTTTTCACCTCCCTTGTAAACTGGAGGAATAGCTCTTCCACCATAACCTGCAGTGGGAACATAGGCAGCAAAAAGCAACCAGAGGGGAATGAGGGTTGAATCCATACAGAGGGATGGGATGGTTTCAAAATCCAAACTTGTTTACACCATTTGAGTAGACCTGCTGAGGCACTCCAAAAACCATATGAGAGTCCCTAACAAGGAGAGGAGCAGCTACATAGAGGCAGATAGGCTGAGCTGTATGTGGATCCAAAGGCAAAGGGGATCAAGTGTTGCTTGGAAACCTGATGAGAAAGAGACCTCTGGCCCTGTGGGGAAAACGAGGAATGTCTCAGATCAAATCTCAAGTCCCTAGCAAAAAAGTCAGCCTGCCTAATACACAGTTCAAGGTTTATGAAGATAAACAGTCAAGGCCAAGTACAGCACTGTTGCAATGATGTTATCACTCCACTCAATCCAGGTCACAACGTCAAAATAGTTGTTACTGCTTCCATGGGTTGCCAGGTAATACTACAGGTTTGTGCTTCACTTATTGCTAAACATCTCCTCTAAGCTTTAACAGGAGCTTCAGGACCACTGCTGAGACACCATTATAATGTCTAATCATAGATACTGACCCTGCAATGGCATCTACCTGCCTCATTTTTGGACATTCTCCTAATTCAAAGTACAGTTCCAGGTTCATCAGCTTATAACAGGCAAAGCTGATCCAGTCCCAGCACAAAGACTCCAGATAGATCTATAATTATTTTATAAATGATACACTGCCTATCATGCTTGGTGTTGGTGACATGGAAGAGACAAGTTTTGAAACAATCACCCAATTGACTTTCTTTGCTGTCCATTCAGTGGTTTCCTCTTTTTGCTGTTATCCTTTTTTTGCTGGGGATAGAAATAAAAATGCTTACCTGGCTGCATGTGGGGCTTTCAAATGTTGAGCAATGCAGGGAGAATAAGAGGAAGTACACTCAAGTGGGTCATGGGACAGAGCCAAAAAAGAAATGGAAGAATCCCTATCCTTTGGTACTCATCTGACCCCTGAGACAGACAGCACTGTTATCGCTTCTCCTCTTTCTGCAGACCTCCTCCACAGTGCCTCACACAGAATAAGGCAGCAGACCAACCCAGGCAGTCTGCTCCTGTTGCCAGCAAGGCTGTATCATCTCTGCTTGAAGAAGCAAGACAACACCAGCTTACTGTCATTAACCTCCACCCAACACCTGCAGCTCTCAAGCAGGCTGGTTTTCGTTAGAGCCTTTACATAAACAATCCTCCCTCCAATCTGGTAATTTTTTTCTTCTTTTTCTTAAGTCAGATCAGCTTAGAATCCATTTTGATAAAAAAGACGAAGAATTAACCCTGAGGACTGTATCCCATATTCAAGATTTTTGTATCCATACATTCTGCTGTACTTTTCCAAAACAAAATATGTTGACTATGTTGCCCTGAAACAACTTTAAAGATATTTCAGAAGCTGCTGAAGTCATAGTGAAATGGGCTGGTCTCCTCTAGAATTGTTCCATTTGACTCAAGAGGGCTGAATAAATATTTTCTGGGAACTCTCCAGTTAGTGACTCATTTCAGCCTGGAATATCTATTGGAATCATAAGATTTTCATCAAAACACATGCTTTAATTCCAGTCAAAATCCATTAGCAGTTGCAGAACAGCACTAACCAACATGAAACATCCTGTCAGAAACCTCCCATTACTATAAATGGGTTGTATGGATTCTACTCACAACTATACAGCTATACAGCCGCTGTCAGCCAGACGCAGAGATTTGTTATTTCTTCAATCCACAGCATTCCTGTGTCCTCCATCATGCCATCATGCACAGGCCTGGTCCTACTGAACAAGTGATCACAGACACTTCAGCAGCGTGATGGAGAATGATGAAGTTGTTCCCAGCTGCTCTGTGGCTGGGCACAATGTTTACTGCAAGAAGTTTTCCTTTTAGTGTCTCATACTGGGCATGCAGACAAGAGGAAGAAGCCAGATGAGCTGAATGAAGAGGAGAAGAACAGTAATAGGGGTGGGAAGAGCAGATTGGAACCATGCTTGGAGAATTGAAACAGCTGTTTCAGAGTGAAAGGTGGATTAGTCCTAATTGTTGCTAATTTCACCCATTTCTGGGTACTTGCTTTTAGTTACTTCCTCACTTGAGCACTGGCCATCACGTCTCTAATATCTTCTGCCACATTCTGTTACACCAGGCAGTCCTATCTATGTCAGATATTGTAAGAGAACAGTGACCTGTCCTAACAATGTATGTATGTTCTGCTGGTACCAGTTCTTCTGGGGAGCTTTATGTGCTCCCAATATTGCAACAAGACAAAGTTTACCCTGCAAAGTGAAGAAAAATAAGCAGATATAAGTCTTTATTAAAATTCTCCTGAATAATCAAAACAAAGCCTACAGCCAGGATGTTGTGCTGGACGTAAGTGGAACAGGAAACCTGGAGTGCAATGGTTAGGTCAAGGACAGCATACAATTTTCACAGTGAAGCTGGAAGTACCAAAACTGAGCCACAGAAATGTTTGAACTCAGATTTCCCTTTAGTGATTATAGGCAGTGAAAAGACAAAATAGCAACCTTCTTTTCCTATTGCTTAACTGGAAAAAACAGTGGGGAACAGGACTGAAGGCAGATTATTTACTATTCAGACAGCATGTGCTCAAACAGTGATAACAAAGCTTTCCACTACTTGCTTCCCAATTAAACTGTAGAGCTCGCTGCCATTGGATGGTGTGGAGACCAAAAGAACAACAGAGACCAAGAAGAGGCTGAACTAGTTATTAAATTATTGATGACCAGTTACTGATGGGCTAACTGCAACCTTTTGTCAACTAATGGCACAGCCAAAGAGAGAATCCTGCCAGGTTATACTCTCCCTTAAACATCTGTTACTGCCACTGTTGGAAATAAAATATAGAGGTAATCAGCTCTTCAGCCTTTTATTATACACCAAATATTGTTTCACTATGGTTTTCAGACTCCTTTGCTCCAAATTAACTCTCTTGCCTTGCTTTTAGTTTTCTCATAGAACCAAAGAGTGGCTTGGGTTGGAAGGGACCTCAAAGATCATCCAGTTCCAACTCCCTGCTATGGGCAGGGTTGCCAAGCACTAGATCAAGCACTAGACCAGGTTTTATCTCACTTTAATGAAAGAGGAAGTTTGGACAGGGAATAGATTTTTCCAACTGCTTTCAAGCAGCATTTATTGCCATTTTACTGAAATGGAATTTGGAGTCTGCAGATTGCTATCTGTGTTGCACACTGAGTAAAAGGTGACGGAGTGACAAGCAGGGTATTAAAGGTCAACATAAGCAAAGCAGATCCTGAGAAATCATGCATTTCTCCTCATGCCACGGGAAAGGTTCTCCACCTCCTTCATGAACCGAAGGCACAGCTCCTCCTGCCATGGCAAAGCCACACATTGCACAGCCACAGGCAGCCCCACAGCTCCTTCCACAGCCTGCAAAAATTAAGCGTGGTGTTGAGTCAGAGCACAGGGTGTGTAATGCCATCTTATGACAGTACAGAAAGTGAAAGATATACAAGGAGACAGATGTCATCATAAGATGGAGAAAAGACAATATGCCAGGGGTGCATACTGTCATGGCCTTCTGCTAAGACTTTCTCTGCTCACCTCTTTCAGTCTCTTATCCCAAGGATCCTCGTAGTGCCCTCGGTAATGCTTCAGTTCTTCTTCATCAGCTCTTGTGACTGTGCTGACTGGCACCACTCCAGCAGGGAAGTTTAAGACATTGTACAAGTTGGTATAGGAGGTTGCAGCTGGAAAAGATCACACAGAACATGTAAAATTTAAGTGTGCTGGGCCAGTGAAGACTTTCAGATGATAATTCAGTTTGAAGGAATTTTGGACTGGAGTTGCTGGATCTAAAAAGACCATGGGACTCCTGGTGGGGAGGTTTGAGGGCCGCATGGTGGATATTAGCTCTGCTCTGAGAGAGATAGATATGAATATTTGACCTGAGGCAGATGAAGTCTGAACTTGTCTTTCACACTTCAGGGTAAAATCCTGGTATCCAGGTCTGTAACACCATCTAGGGCATTTCTAGGGCAGAGAGCTGCAGTTAGAGGAATGGAAGACTCTGGATGTTTCTTGGAAGCTATCAAATCGCCTCTTTCTGCAAGGCAAATTTTCATGTCTGCTCATTGCAAAGCTCCTTACGGGGAACATAAGATGGCCGCTTTCAAAAGAACTTGTCTTGAGATAGGAACTGCCAGCACCCTAGCAGCTCTCTTCACGTGCACTTTCAGAAGGTCAGATGATACAGAGGAAGCTCACCAAGTAACTACTGGGACTGATGTGTCACTAAATGCCGCCCATAATAATCCAAACATCTGCAGCTCAGATGAAGTGGGAACATGAGGAGACACAGAGTGGAGAATTCCCTGTGCTAACTTCCTCAAAGGGAAGAGCAGACAGTCTGAGGAATGTACAAGAGACCTAAACATCTTGCCGCTGCTCTGCCCACAAACAATAACATAGATGCATCCGTGAGATGTCTCAATGGAGATTACCAAATAGCTTCCCAGCGTAGCCATGGTTAAAGGCTGGACCAAGTACAGGACAAAGAATCACATCCAGTTTTTGCTTCCTCCATTTAGCAATGAATTCAGTGCGGTAAACCTAGAGGGAAAGACAGAGCAGATGACAACCAATGCCTGTTGGACAGCAGTGGCAGATCAATGTCTACAGCATAGAAAAGAGGAAAAAAAGCATGCTTAGATAAAAGAGAAAGGTGAAATAAAATCCGAGCTGTACTTTGAAAGAGCCAGCAGGCTTCATTTTTCCTCTCCCAGGTCTATCCTGCCCAGACATAGGCACTGATGTCAAGTGGGCATTTCAGAGTTGACAGCTTTCTGTGAATGTTTACCCAGTCCTTACGCACGGTTTTGTCTTTGCATTTGATTGAGTGGAGATCAACAGTAATCCAAATAAAAGTCCATTTCCTAAAAGCTTTGTTAGTTTGGTAGAAGAATCTAGAGTCTACTGAACATCAGGCAATGGATGAATCCATTCTCAAATTGCTGCTCCACTGTCTCTTAGTAAATCAATACGGATGGACCATAGGGCTACTTGAGCAGCCTCAGTGGTACTGAGGGACTTGGGAAGCTGGGGACAGGTTGAGATTGGACTACATGACCTTAGAGGTCTTTTCCAACCTCAGTGATTCTATGATTCTATTTTTTATCTGTTCTCAAATTTCATACGCAGCCTGAGATCAATCTGCTGAAAGTTTGACGAAAGAGAGGATTTCCAGAAAATGCAGTGCAAATAGTTTCATGCTTTCCTGAGAGGAAAGCTGGTAGCTGGCCAAAAATGTTGGGTCAACTCTTGTTTGTAATAAATGAAAACCATGAATAATGCTTTGCTGAAGAAAAAAAAATCCAAAATACCTTTGAGGTTACCAAATCTTTTTAGAGGATTTTCTTTTCTATTTTTTTTTTTTTGGCAGGGAGTGGGGTGGGAGTAGGAGAAGAATGATCTGCTTTCAGTCAATCAGACCTGCTGCTGTGAGCGTGCATTTCTATCTCATGACTGACACTGACGGAGGCTGCATGGTGGAAGCTGGAGGCATGTTTGCTCTCAGGGATGGTTGTAAGGGTGTCCTAAGCAACACAGATCCTTGTGAGGAGATGCCAAAATAGCTCAACTCCTTCAGCCTAGCAAAACACCAGCTAAAAGGGGACACAACTGCTGTCTGCAAATAGACTGGGATCGAGTGGAAAATACCAGAGAGGAGAGGTGTTATTTAAACTCAGGGATGGAATAAAATGAGTAAGAACTGCAAGTGAACAAGCAGCAGAAGAAATAAGAAGGCTTCCAATCATCAGATCAGAGAGGAGAGGAGATGGCCAATAAAAATAAGTGCAAATGCAAAACCCAGGTTGTTTTGAAAGGAACCTGATTGGTTTGTGAGCAGCAATGGGCTCAGCTATCCACGACAATGCTTCCTGTCCCACATTGCTGAACCAAAATGAGTTCATACAAAGTACATCTGAGCCAAAGAGTTCACAACCGCAGATTTTTACCCTGTCCTAATTTGGGCTGGGGAGAGTAAGCAAGTAGAGACCTCTACATTAACATCACTTGAAAAGCCCAGCTGCTTTATTTGAGATGACCCAACACCAGATCCATCACAGAGGTGAAACCAATGATAGGAATCCCTTACTGTATTTACAAAGGAAGATAAATCATCCTACCGCCACAGCTATATGCTGATCCCAGAGGTTTTTGGCAGACCTGGAATGGTGAAAAGATTGATTGGAATTGGGACTGTGGCAACAGAAAACAATAATAATAATACAAGTACAAATAGCCCATTGTTATGGGAACTACATGACCACCCCGAGAACAAGTCATAGCATTGCCTGGATGGTTCCACAGGGTTCACATGTACTTGTGCATACATCAAAAGACCCTACTGCCATGATTTCATTTATTCTGACCTAGACAAAAATCATGGCAGTCTTTTAAATTCAACTGCTCTCAGTTTGCTTCTTTTTGTCTCTCAGAGGGGTCTGCACTTCACATCATACTGCATCCATATGCAGGTATCTGTACTGCCTTGGCACATTGCCTTCTGTGTACCAGAATCCACCTAACCACGAGGAAAGCTGCCTTTATCTGTGTGAGCTGAGATATCCTAGCCCTGCCACAATGAGGAACTTCGCACCCTTAATTTCTGATGCCTCGCCCTAGGCAACACCATGCTGAGCCATAGTAATTTTGCACAGCAAGCTGGCATCTACTTGCATGAACCCAGTGGATACATCCACGTGAATCCCTTCCTCTACTTCAGTGCCACTTACCCCACTCCACAGAGAGCACTGAGATCCCGAGCAATTCGTGGGTACTTTGGGAGGGAAGAATTAAAACTTGGGATTAGTCAACAATGCAGATGAAATAGATGGGACTTTATTTTGGGCACGCTTCTTGTCCTAGTAGAAGTGGCTCTGAAGATCAAGTACAGTTTCCAATGAGATGGTTGTAATCCAACAATAACTTACACATTCATAGAATTACAGAATCATTACAGTTGGAAAAGACCACTAACATCACCCAGTCCTACTGTCAGCCCATCACCACCACACTCTCTAAGCCATGTTACTGAGTGCAACACCTACCCTTTTCTTGAAAGCCACTTCAAAGCCATCACCTCTCATCCTATCTCTGTTACCTGGGAGAAGAGGCTGACCACCTCACTACAACCTGCTTCCAGAGGATTGTAGAGAGCAATAAGTTCTCACCTGAGCCTCCTCATTTTCAGACTGAACAATTCCAGTTCCCTCAGCCACTTCCATCAGACTTTTATTCCAGGCCCTTCAGACCCTTTGTTGCCCTTCTTTAATTCAATTACAACAACTCCTAGGAATAAGGCTCTAGACAGCACAGCTAGCCCTGGAGAAAATCTCCTGGATGTGGAGATGATGTTTAGATCCTTGCATAGAGACCAAGTTTACTTAAGAGTATGGCACTTCAAAAACCTCCAGACTCTTGACACAAGGCAGCAAAGCATTGAGTGGTGCAGCCCATCATGTGTCAAGTTCCCCACCTTGATGACTTCCTAGAACACAGAGGAGATGTCTCCATATACTTACAATAGGCTTCAAAATGATAGCCAGGATCCTCTTCACCAAAGCAGGAAGCCTGTAAGTATTGAACTGGGACTTCAGATTAGGATCCACGATATCTCCTTTGCTAGAAGGACAGAGAGCAAAGGTACTCAGAACAAGAAACTTGTGCCAGAGGGCACAACCCTATTTGGAGGTGGCCAACCATACCCCCAGAGTCAAATCCAGAGCTGGTTTCAGCTTGACTGCCCCAAGCTGAGTCTGCTTTACCCATGATAGCAATCAGCAAGCAATCTGTTTATATCTTGACCCATAAGCCTTCTCCCTATTTTCCTATCCTGTTTTCCCTATTATAAGGAAAGGCAGTGAGCAATTGGCAAGGTGGGCATCGGGCTGCTCACCAGAGCTGACCCTCTGCACTTCTGTGGGAAGTTACACAGCTTGTGCTGTTCCCCATGTGCCACAGACTAATCACAAGCATAAAAACATTTGCCACAGCACTGCTGACACAGGGCATGCTGTTACCCTATAGGGTTACCCATGCATGTGACCTACTGTAGTGAGATAGTTGCTGTCCAAGATGAATTCTCCCTTCCAGAAATCACTCCTCTGCTGCTCTCTCTTTAGAATCATAGAATCAGTAAGGTTGGAAAAGACCTCTAAGATCATCCAGTCCAACAATCCACCTACCACCATGTTCATAAAAGCATGCATCTACAGGAACAAAAGCACTTTGGATGCATCCATTGGTCACACCATGTCAAGTCTCAGGGTTTGCACTGAAAGCAATGAGTTTTACTCACAAAGAGTCCACCATGTGAGCAGCACCATCTGAGAAAATCCCTCTGGTAAACAGTTCATCTACCATGTAGTCAATCTTAGGTGGTGCAAAGGGAACAATCTGCAGGAAAACCATTCATTGTTCAAGAGGCAAGAAACACAAATGAATGACAAAGCCCTGTGTAGACCTCCCTCCATATTCAAAGAGACCTGGGCTGCTGCCATCCACCCTCTGTCCTTTCCTGTTTCCAAGGCATTAGCACACAGTGACATGATTTTACATAGGCTTTTCTTCTTTGCTCCTTAGAGAAGTATATTTAGAGGCCAAGTATTCAAAACACCAAATATTCTTCATTTATACTTGTCACTGGAACAACACTCTATATAGAAAAGACTACTGGCAGAACCACACTGTAGTTTAGGCTAGAAGTGATCCCTGGGAGCTCAACCTGTACTCCACCCAAAAATCTGTAAACTGGATTCAGCAGATTCAGGATCATGGAAGCTGCTGCAAGATTGATGCTCATGGAGATGCAAAACATGATGGAAAAAACATTGTCCCATGGCATTCTTTATAAAAGAGAGATGTGAAATGACTTGTCCAGACTCCGTAAGGAGCAGGATGATAGCTCCTAGTAACCACAGGTGTGAAAACTTACTGTATGTCCTGCTTCTTGCAGGAGCTTTCTGGTCTGCTGGACGGCCCGTTTCATACTGGGTGAGGGTTGGAAGTAGCCATCTTCTTCATAATATCCAATCCGAAGTGGCTTTGAACTGGTGTAAACCTGTGAGAAGAGCCACTGCTTGGACACATGTACCAGATCAGACCATTCCTAGGGAAGGCAGACAGGGCTGGAAGAAAGACAGGGCATTTGGGCTAGTGGAAAGAGCCATATGTCAGGAATAATTGTCTGTATAGCAGGGACAATTGAAAGATGCTAAGACCTGAGCCAGAAAGCAGCAAATGGGCAGAACCAGAGAGATAATTGCAAAGCGCAAAGATTTCTTAGGTTCATGGCTTCTCAATAAGGCTCTTTTTAAAGATGTGAGGGGTGAATTTCTCTGATCAGGAAAAATGAATTCCTTTAGGAAGCCAACAAGTCTTTTCCAGGCATTGCTGGGAAGGCAATGGTAGGGATCAGCATTCAGCAGGCCTCATCTGCCAACCCTGTCTGTGGCTTCTTCTCATGGTTGCTCATGCTGGGACTCGTCTGATCAGCAGCATTGCTTCCCCTTCACTGTCTTCAGGTACGAAACCAGATGAGAGTCTCTCAAGATCTCTCTTTAGTGGTAGACAAATGGAGGCATGGGACTGCCTCTGAGCCTCACCTCCTCATCAAAGGGGATGGGGGGCACGGTGGGATCCAGACGGAACATCTCCTCACAGAGCAGCGCCTTCATGCAGAGGGCCAGGCTGTCCACATCCCTTGCTATTGGCCCCAGCATCCCTATCACTGCAAGCACAAAGATCCCATTATTTCAGGCAGGTGGGCCTGGTGCTCCCTTATAGTAGCTGGTAGTGGCCCAGAGGAGAGGAGTTTTATTCAGGCCAGGGAAGAGGACTGGGGAATGAATGTGCAAGAAGTGAGCAAGGAAGCCTGCCAAGGACAGTCCCTAAGTCTCAGAGGCACGATGTCATCTTCTGGGTCAGCATTCTGGAGGCACAAGTCCCATTCAAGAGGAACAAGGACTGCAGCCATGCTGCCAACAGCAGAGAACGTTTGGCAGTAGTAATATATTATCTGGATGAACTTACCTGAGCTCATTCCTGCGATAGGAGAAATCACACCCAATTTGCTAGAAGCAGAATGGGAGAAGCAGATTAGATATCTAAGGTGTCATGCTCTAAGGTGTGTCACCATGCTGGCTTGCAGACTTCCCATTTGCCCCAGTGACTATCTAGGAGGACCAAAGGCCCTGCAGAGACTTGGCACCCTTCTAGATTAGGAAGACTCCCAGGAGCATTAAGTTGCCAGGTGCTAGAGATGTTTTTTATCATTTCCTTTCCCTGGTGCTTAAGCAATTCCTCATCTGAGAATAACCCATCTCTGATAAACAGAAATTTATTGTGTAGTTGACTGCACTGCAGGAAAAACTTTTCACCCTCTACATTAGCTGGAAGGGGACAGTTGTTAGGGTGTACCTGATCCTGAAGCCTGTGGGTTTAAGCCCACATAGCCCACAGAAGCTGGATGGCAGGCGGATGCTGCCAGCTACATCTGAGCCAATGCCCAGGAGGGAGCCTCCCCCTGCAATCAGAGCTCCTTCCCCTCCTGAGGAGCCCCCGGGGGTCTTCTGGTGGTTGAGGGGGTTCAGCGTCTGGCCAAAAATGAGATTGCTGCAGTCATAGCTGGGGAGAAGAACAGCAGGTGAGTGAAGTACTTCTATCTCCACAAATCATAAAGACAAGACAATGCATAATTAATGCTAGGGGTAGAATCACTGTGAACTAGATATGTTGATTAGTATAGGAAGAAAGAGGCATCAAAAATAAATACTTTCTTTGTAGCATTCTACAGAAAGACCAAGGAATGGTAGTTTGACATGGGGAGGCAATGAATTCAGCGTGCATGATTTGGTTGGAAGAGGGTGGGAACTTGTGCATTTGGCCCCGCTCGCTCTCAGTTCACAAGACTTGCATGACACAGTGTTTTCATGAAGATGAAAATTACTTTATCATTGTCTGCGGGATGTTGGTTTTCACGAAGGGGATTGCCCCCTGGCTCTTCAGAACCTGGACGATGACGCTGTCTTCTTCCTTCATTTGGCCCAGAAACTTCACCATCCCACCAGTGGAGACATGACCCTTGGGGATAGGAAGCAAAGCTCTCTAGGTACTAGTAAAGATGCTGTTCAGAGCTGTAACAACTACAGAAATAACATATATGGTCCAAAGCATCCTTGCCTGAGGGCACCCTTGGTTAGCTGTGATAAGGTAAAAAGGATAAAGCTGGATCCCATATACAAGAGTAGAGACATCCTGGACATCCTTGTCTGTTTCCAGCCCCAGGCCAAGGGGAGGGGGAATTAGGGATGTACCTTGCAGTCAATGTGGTCCTTGATGCTGACAGGAATGCCATAGAGCAGCCCCTTCTCCTTCTGTTTCTTCAGTTTCTGGAGCTGATCCTCACAGCCATGAATGAAGTCTATTACACAGTTCACTTCCTGATTCACCTCCAGAGCCTTTCCAGAGAGGTTGGAGAGAGTAGCAAGATGAACAAATAGATTGAAGGAAAGAAAAAGCACTTTGTGTTTTCAAGCTGAGAATTCAGTCTCCTCAAACCTCCAGCATTCAGCAATCATTATTCAGACTTTACCTATGAATTTTACATACTTATTTTGGGGATAATTTTCTGCCCTGGATCTCTGGATTCAGCCACAAGCCACCCTTCATCCATCCTGACAAATTGTGATCTCATGCATTGCCATTCTCCCACAAAACAGGCTGGTTGCAAGCAGCACCAGAGGAGCCCTGGAGCATCTCTCTATGTTGGAGACATCACTCACTTTGCCTATATAGGAGTAGAGAACGCTTTCTGGGGACAGGGACCCCTCCTTCAGCTTCTCCGCCAGCTCCACCATGGTCAGTGAGAGGATGTGTGCAGTCTGGGTGCCTGGGTTCTGCAAAGGGAAAGAAATTTGGTGCAGAAAGAGGAAGACGACAGGAAAGGCTGGTGTTGAAGTTGCAAATCCCATGTTCTAACATCTGCCTGGCAATGACCCTGAATAGATGTCACAGTTCAGCCTGGTTTCCATGACAAAGATCTGTTATATGGCATTTGAACCAGCTAAAGTTTTACAAAAATGTATCATTAACTTGGAGGAAAAAAAGTGCGTAAACTGTAGCCTCCCACTGTTCCTTTCCAAGAACAGAATAGCAACTGGTGTTCATTTTGGGTTTAAGACCAATCCTGAACCCTTGTGAAATCTGTGTGCTTCTTGATCTAGGGGTATGGAGGAAGAAATGGCTTTCAGTCACTGATGCGCTAATGTTAGAGGGACCTGTACATGGAGGACAATGTGGTGGATATTGGAAGTTATTGCCTCAGGCTGCCCAGGAAGGTGGTGGAGTCAACCCCCCCCCCCCGACATTTTCGAGATGTTCACTGAGTAACAAGGTCTAGAGTGATCACAGATGTGGGCTGATGGTTGGACAAGATATTCATATTGATCTTCCCAATCTTAATGACTCTACGATTATGTGAGATGTTGGGATGGCAGAGGTGAGGAGGATAGGAGCAGAAAGTCTTAGCAGGATGAACAGATGAGCAGTGATATGGTTCAGACTCCAATCCATCACTCACGCTCAGGATTCTCACAACATAATCTGTATTACAAAATATCTCCTTTAGGCTGCCTTCTCAGCTTGAGATTTTTGGTAACAATAAAGGTGATGACCCTTAAAAAAAGCTGGTAATGATCCAAAGTATGCATATTCCTGCCTTTGCCCCTGCAATCTATCAGAAATTGTGTTTCTTCAGTTACCCAAAATACAATCCCATCCTTCTACACATGCTTTTCCCCAAATTACCTCTTGCTTAAACCTGCGAGCTGCCTTCTCCATTCTCTCCAGAGCCAGATCCCGTGTTCTTCTTGCTTCTTCCATCTTCTGCTGGATTCGCCTGCGACCCAGCCATTTCAGCAGCACAATGGCTGAAGCTGAACCACAAAACAAGGCCGAGAGAACGCGAGGGTCAGCCCATAAGGGGTCTAGGACCTGCCACAGTCGCTCCTGGATCATGATTTTTCTCCTGGTCTGGTGCAGTTACAAACACTTGGGTCTCCTACCCTCTCCTAAGGAGAGTTGATGTACGAAGAGTATTCAGTTGCCTTCTGGGCAAGATCAGCTCTGAGGCAAAGTTGTGTTAACAAAATCCAGGAATGGACTTTTTAAGACTGTGGACTTTGAAAGGATCTGCCTGCCCAAGGAACACTGTGGGTTGGGCTGCAAGCTGCATGCTCGGATCACAAGAGGTCTGGAGGGGATGTCCCTCAAGGTTGTGGCTCTCCAGGCCACTGCCTGCTGCTAGAAATAGTTGATTAACAGAGCTGAGTATCTTAAAAACCCTGGCCTGGCTTATCCCCACATCTAATAATTAATAAGCAGTTAAGCCCATTAACTAGAAGCACCCAACTGTCATCTCTTTTCCCCTAGCAACAGCATGCACAGCCTACAGCACTGGCTGGGCCAGCCTTGCTTGCTGTGGAGAACTTGCATTTATTGGAGAGGAGGGAGCTTAGGAGAACAAAAGGCTCGCAGTGAAGAGTAAGCACAAGCAGGAAATGATTCTGGAAAGGCAGACTGGAAGGACCTATCTGAAGCTGCCTCCAAGGAGTATGACTGTTCTGTCGTTCTCTATCCAAGCCTCCTTAAAAAGTATTTCAGCAATCCATATCAGGGAAATCTCCTCTGATGGGTTCAGTATCCCATCTACTCCCAGTAGGGTAGTAGAGCTTGTAAGGAGACTGGGTCCTGGGAAGTCATTACTGTCAGATGGAGAGGTCTTCCTTGGGAGCTGAAAGCCAGTGCTTGTGCTGCTGTTCTGCTACTTTACTTGTACATCCCGTGGGATTATTACTGTGGCAGCAGGAAGGGAACTACAGAGAAGAAGCAAGACTTCACAGAGAAACAGATTGCTAACTGGAAAGGAGAGGGTGTCCTTCTTGTCCATCCACGATGGACAGCAAAACCCAGCCAAGTCAGCGTGGACATCACCAACCTCTCCTCACTGACTGTGGGGAGGTGATCCTCATTCACACATCCCAGCTTTAAGTTTCAGGGCCAACTGCCTGCTCTGGACTGAGGTCCCCAAAACCACACAGTAAGCCCAGCACTGCCCCTTGGCAGTGGGCACGGTTTGTTGGAGGCTTTTGCTCAGGGCTTCCGGAAGAATCCTTATTGGTTTAGGTCCACTGGCATCTCCACCCATAGGACTCCTATGTCCCACCCACCTCCTTGCTAATGAGAGACTGGTTAACGAAACTGGTTAAACTAACGAGGCTGCCTGGGCAGTGAGCTACACCCTGCCAGCTCAGGCCAACACGTGGGCATTCCTCCTCCTGGGACCATCTCCTCCCAACTTGAACTTTAAAGTGCAAACAGAAAATCCCAGACCAACATTTTCCATGTAGGCAGCGATTGCCTACAAATGGTGAAAAACTCAGTCCAAGCTTCTCTGGAGCTGTTGTTACATAGCATTCAGTCCTGGGATGCCTGAAGTTCCCCTCCCTTCCTCTTCCACTCCTTTTTTAAAGCCTGCTGATAAAGAATTAGAACTCTGGGGCTGCTATTTGACAGGCTGGGCTAAACCCTCTGCCCAGCTCCTGACGAAAACCTATCATTTCTATGACTCTGGTTTAAACAATAACAATGCCTTTAAAACCAAAGCACCCGTACCTTTTCCCGTCAAAGCTTTGTTTCGATTTATCTGTGAGCAGTTGCATCAGCAAAACGCATTGTGGAGTTCCTTTCTCAGACACCCACAGATGCCTTTTGGGAGCAGCCGCCGCTGCCAATCGCGGTGTGGGTGCCTGCCAGCAGCCGTGAGACCTCGCTGAAAACCTGGCCTGGCTCCCTCTGCAAATGGAAGGCACGAATGTGCAGCAGAGCAGGGCTCTGACACTGGCATGCTGCTGGGTTTGTGCAAGACAGTGAGCTGTACTGTTTATACCTCTGCTCTGGGGAAGGCAGGCGTACCTAAGGGATGGGGGGTTGCTAACCAGTTTTTCCCCTTTATGCCCACCCATGCCAGTGTGGTGTAAGCAGCTCTACCATCCAGGAAGTGGTCCAGCTCCCTCCCTGCTTATCAGAGGTTTAGTTTTGACCTTTGATTGCCGGTGCGTGACAGGAAAAGCCTTTCTCCCTCATAATGCAACTTCTGTGGAGCTCTGTGGAGGCACAAACCCTTCCTATGGCACTGAAAGCAGGAATCTGAGTGTCTTAGATAACATGTCCAAAAAAACAAAAAAAACAAAAAAAACCCACCACCAAACCTCCCCACAAAAACACACCTGAAACAGACTTTCCACTAACAAAAATCACTGTATTGGGTAAATTGGTGTAAACATTTGACCTCATCTCACTTTTCCACAATCCACCCAATCATGGATGGGAATGCCAGTCCTGCAGGCAGGTGAGATGCGAGGGCAGCTTGCACCGCTCTGAGCTCAAATCCCGCTCTGGGTGAGGACTCAGACAATCATGTTTTTCTTCATGACAAGCGTCTCCACTTCCTTCATGAACCGGAGGCACAGCTCCTCCTGCCACGGCAAGGCCACACACTGCACAGCCACCGGCATCCCCTCGGCACTGCTAAAAGCCTATGGCAGAAAGAAAAGGGAGAGGGTAGGGGATATGGCAGAGATGAGACCGGGACACTGTGCCCCCCAGGGGACCTGGCACAACTCACCGTTGCCAGGCCCCGGTCCCACCAGTCTCGGAAATAGCCTTGGTAGTTCTTCAGCTCCTTCTCATCCTCATCCGTCGCCAACGTGACGGGGACAACACCGACAGGGAAGTCCAAGGAGTTGTAGAGCATGGTGTAGCTGACTGCCACTGGGGGTAAAAGGGAGCTCACAGCAACAGGAAAAACCTTCACCCCCCTCTGTGTTTGACCACAGCACACGTGAATGCCCAACACCACTTCCAACTAATAGGCATCTGTGCTGTGAACTCAGTGGCTGCAGGATGGAAGCCTGCCCCTTGGTTCCTGCACACACCAGGGTGGTTGTCCAGAAGCCAAGCTGCCCAAGAGCTGAGTTCTTCCCACTGCTGCCCAGTGCCTCAGAAAGCAGGGGAAGGAGGAAAAATGCTTCCCATTTACACTGGCAGGGAGGCTATGGCTTGAGGTCAACCAGGCAGTCCTACCTGAAAGCTTTGCTGGGTAGCCAATAAGGAGAGCTGGGCCCAGCATGGGACAAAGCATCACGTCCAGATTCAGCTTCTTCCACTGGGTGATAAACTGATGGCAAGACTCCTGAGAGGCAAACACACCGGTGGTCAGTGGGATGGATGCACTGTCCTATGGTTGAAGCTCCGCTGGGCTCCATCAGCTGTGGGGTGAACCACATCAGTCCAAATCCTAAAATCCAGTGGCTCTTGGGGAGCCATGGTAGCTCTTCCCTACTGAGAAGCCAGGCCCAGCATACCAATCACACAGCAACAACCAAAGAGCAATGTGCTATTAACGCTGCCTCAGCTGAAACCAGGAGAAGGGAAGGGTGTAGTGCAGTCCTAACCTCACCTGTCACACCATCACACACAGTCACATCGAAACCTGTGTGTGCTACATGTTATGTGCCCTTGTACCACTTGGAGAGTATAACAGTGATTACCAGTACTAATATTTCAACCCATCTCATGGTATCTCAAAAGAAAACAGAACCTAAAAAAAGAAAAACTGTGGATGAGAGAACTGAAAAAAATAGGAAAGCCCATTGAAAGAAATGTGGGAAATAAAGCTGGTAATGTCAAATTTTAAGCTTTGGTGACAGATGAAAGTACTGATGCTACAGGTATGGCTTGATGTGCCATTTTTATAGGAGTTGCTGGTAATGAATATAATGCCACTGAGGAAATGGCTTCCTTGATGTCTGTAGAAGACACAATGAATCTCTTGAATTGGATGAGGCAGAAAAAAAAAAAACATTAAAGCAATTTTCTTTAACCTTTGTCAACAGATCTGGCATAGCTACCGATAAGCAATGGTTGGTAAAAAGGAGACATAAAATTAATAAGAGATGATGCAATTGCTGCCAGCAACTCACATGTGATGAAATATCATTGCATCATACATCAAGAAAATCTATGTGCAAAAGCTTTGAAGATGGATAATGTCATGCAGATTGTCATCAAAGCTGTAACTTCATCAAGTCCAAGGGACTGGCTCATTGCTAGTCCAGTTGTTCCTGAAAGGTATGGATGGTATGTTTTTATTGTGGACATAATTCACTTTTCTGAAGGAAGGTGGCTAAGCTGGGGTAAAATGCTAAACCGGTTTTATGGTTTGTGAAATGAAATCAAATTCTTCATGGAGTCAAAGGAAAAATCTGTGCCAGAGTATGAAGATGAAAATGGCTCACAGAGTTAGCATTTTTGGGGGATGTCACCACTAATTTAAATGAGTTACACACCTGTCTTCCTGGTGAAAATCAGCTTGTCTGTGCTATGTTTCAAAACCATAACAGAGTTCAATATGAAACTTAAATTATGGCCAGCTCAAGTTACTGCAAATAATCACATGCATTTTGTTACACTGACTAAGCCCAACCCTGTGAACAGCAAAAAATGTGAGCATATTTTGCTATATGAGGTTTCAAGACTTCAAAAAGAAAATCATCATATTTGACTGAATATTTGAATTCTTACCCTTGTACTTCATCAAAAATCTCTGATGAAAACCTTGAGAACTCACTAAGAACTGCAGCCACTTCCAGTGAACCAGCCTGATGCACTAGCTTCACAAAAATTAAGTCAAATATCCCACTAATTTTACATTTTTGCTGCTCTTTTTTATATTTTAATTAAAAATAATATTTAAAAAGTTAGTTAGTTCTATAGCTTAACTCTATTATATACTTTGTATGTGGCTCAAGACAAATCCTTTTCACTCCATGTGCCCCAGGCAAGCTGAAAGGTTGGGATACCTATGCTTTACCTCAATTTCATGATGAAGACTCCAGAGTTCTTCCACCGTGCTGAAAAAGGAAGCAAAAACAATGCAAGTTAGTGAGAAGTATTGCACAGAGCAGCTTTGTGGGCAGAGAAACGCATTAAATGGCAGATGGGCACCGGTGAGCTCCGCTCCTGAAGCTGCAGCCAAGGGAGGATTTTGGCAAAGCTCAAGCTTTCCCCTCATTGCATGACAGATGCATTAACCAGTAGCAAAGCAGTCAGCACATTTCACTCCTGCAAACTTCATCCAGTTCATAAGCAAGAGGCTGCAAGTGCCCGCCCTTATTTCCATCCTCAGCGCTACAACAGTTGGCAAAGCTCTGCAGTGCTAGTTATGACATGGATATAAACAGCTCTCAGTTTGCTCCCTCCCTTGTATTTTCTGCCTTGTATTTTCTCAGATACATGCAGCCGGGGAAGTATCCCTAATGTAGCAAACATTGCTGCTCTCCAAAGAGAAACCCAAACCCTCATGTTTGGCATTTACTCACTTTGCTCTCAAACTTCTTATGACATTTGACAACCGAGGCACCTGGCAAAGAGAAAGTAGTAAAGAAAATAGCTTACATTAATCCCAGCTCTGTCCTCTCAGACATCTCCATCACAAATGCAAGCCACTGACGTAGTGCTCAGGCAGGACTTCTGGCTTTTCCCCAAAATGGGGAGAGGGGGCAGAAATAATGTCTCTCCAGTTTGGAGGAGAAGTGCCTAAGCACAACCAGTATGCAAAGCCTGGAGAGTTCCCTCTGGTTAAGTCTTACTGCAACAGGAGACACCTACTGCTTGACTCCATCTAAGCTAGGAAGTAGTGCACCTTACAAAGGGTTTGGTAATCCAGGACAGCAGAGTTTTCATCCAGTTTGGTGACTTCACCAACCAGAAGAATATCCCCAAGTTGCCTTTCTCCAGCTCCCCTTCACTGAAAGAGAAGAAGAGTGTTTAGCTGAACAGTATTAGAAAGCAATTACAGGAGATCAACTTGCACAGGACCAACTCCTCTAAATAGCATATCTCAATGAGAAGAAGGTTTTCTCATTTCCTCTGGGCTCCCCTGTTTCCCATGGTTTTATAGGCTCTGCACCCAGTTTCCTTTGATCTGCCAAGGCTGGTAGCAGTCTTAAACTGAGCCAAAGTTCACCTTAATCTCTTGATTATTAGCTGCCCAGTAAATCCCTCTGCAGATCAGCCACTGTCCATATTCAGTAGATCTGCTGCCCAAGTCCAGGGAGGATTCCCATAGACAGGCACCAATCACACAAGCCATTTTGGGTTATACTCACAAATTGTTGAGAAAAGTGACACCTCCATCTGCAAACATTCCCCTGAAGCAGAAGTTATAAAGCGAGTAGTCCACATTTGTAAGTTCAAAGGGCACCAGCTGGAAAGACAATGGATGAGGTGTCAGTGGCACAAGCACAACAAAGCTGCATGGCAGGAGCCATCAAAGGCTAGCAAAGGCCCAAGCTGAGGTCATTATGACATCCTTTCAGGAGGGGCTCAGCCATTTGATATCCAACCAACCCCAGAGTGCAAGGAACCCTCCAAAACCAGCAGTGAAGGACAGAGAGCACAAGGACTGCTTGGCTACAGATGAGCTGCCATCTGCATCTGGCCCTTTATTTTCTCCACGGGTCCTGGTTTCCAGATACAAAACCAGTCTGTGGCTTTCCAAGCATGCTACATGCAGTACACCTGTGGAACTGCCTG